CTGTGTGTCTGTGTGTGTCTGTGTGTGAGAGTGTGTGAGTGTGTGTGTGTATATGTGTGTGTGTGTCTGCGTGTTGGAGAGTGTGTGTGTGTCTGGTGCGCGCGCGCGTGCGCGCGCGCGTGTGTCTGGGAGGGGGGGGGGCGGTGGTGCGAGGGCGGTCGAGCTGGGGCCTTTGGCGGAGCTCCCTTTGGGGCCACGAAGCGCACTGCTGGGTGGAGGGCGGGGGTGGGGGAGGGGGGGGGGGGGGGAGGCGCGTGCGGGCAGCGGAGCTGGAGCCGTCGGTGGAGCTCCTCTGGGGCCGCGGAATGTTGTGCTGCGTGGGCGGCAGTGAGGGGCGCGCGGCGGCGGCGGCGGCAATTGCGCGCGCGGGCGGGGCGGGGGGTGCAAAAGCGGGGGCGGGGAGAGGGGCGCGGGCGGGCGGCTGCGCTGGAATGTTCGTCGGAGCTTCCACGGGGCCACGAACCGCCGCGCTGGGCGGCGGCGCGGGGGCAGGCGGGGCGCGCGCGGGCGATGCGCCGGGCCCTTCGGTGGGGCCCCCCACGGGGCCGAGCAGCGCGCGAGGGGCGCGCCGAAATGCCAAGCTGACGCGGAACGCAGAAGCGCGCTGGGAGGGGGGGCGGGACTGGGGGGGGATGAGAAGACCGCGGGGCGCAGTCCGTGCAAAACGAAGACCCATATGCACTGGGTGGCCAGGAATACTTTCAAAGCGGGGCCATCAGATCGCGCGACATGTCTCGGGCATTTCATGTCCATCTCAGTGATCGACATCCAAACAAAAGGAAGGTTTGGGCCACGCCCCCCCAGAGCGGGAGGGGCGATGTCCGTCAAACAACAAAACTCATTATTCGGCGAGATCGGCCGAGGACCCAAATGGCCGAGTGACGTTGCCCAGTGCTTCCCGACCCTTTCCCAGATCGAGCGGCTTGCAAGTCTTCGCTGCGCAGGCAAGAAAAAACGGCCGGGGCAGGAGCAGGACCTGCCATGCGACCAGGGCCAATCCGGGGGGGGCCCAGGAAAGCCCCCGCCCTCGGCGACGTCGCCTGAGGGAAGAAGGCGAGGCAGACAAGCGAGCGAGTGGCGATGTCGGAATCGCCGACGACAATCGCTGATTGTGCGGCTCCGCATGGGCCGCGGCACCCCAGGAAGTATGTCGTTGAAACGCATCCAACCCATAATGAAACAGGAACCCAACGCGCCTGGAGCGAGAAGGTTTCCCTGTGCTGCGACCGAGAAATCAGAAACTAGACGCTGTTCAGGCTGCAAAACAATCCAAACCCGAGCCTCGGAAATCTCGATGCCGACGCGAACTCGCAACACAGAACGCACGACATCGCGATCGTCTCCAGCGCGGCCGATGCAGCGGAGAAAGTGCACGCTGAAAACAAATAAACCGAATGGGAAAACGGCCCGGGAAGGATCTCGCGAAGACAGCGACCACGCCACAGGAGCCATCTTGTTGACCCGGCATAGCGGGGCATCAGAGACTCTTCCAGCCGCGGCAGAGGGCCCGGGCCGAGGATTGGCCGCGGCCCGCCCTACTGCGTCGATGGCGTTCCTGGAGAAGCACGACGTGAGATCTGCAGGACCAACGCAAAAACACACGCACACACTCCCACCCCGTAGCATTAACCGTCGCGACGGCTCGGGAAACCTGGCCCGGGTCATCGGCAGGCAAGCTGAAACAAAAAAGGACAGGTCCCTGCGGGGGCGCATGGCATAGAGGCGGGGGCTCTGATGCTGCCAGGGGCAAGTTTGGCCTTGGCACGAGCAGCGGCGAAACTAGGGGCCCTTCAAAAGCATGCAGAAACCTTGCAAAAAAACCTGCCCACCATGCCCGGAAAACTGAATAACCTGATGCGTGGCATCGGGGGCGCGCGGCCGGCTTTAGCAATGGACGCGGCTCCCGCGGGGGCAGGAAGGCTAGCCGCATCCGCCGCAAGAGCCTGACCCGCCGCGGCAGCAGCGGATGGGGCATCTTGGGCAGGGTTTTTGGGGGGATCCTGCCTGGTGAGCCACCTCCGCTTGCCTCTGCGCCACCCGCAGTGCGCATGCGCTTGGTCAGCAGCTGCTGCAACAGTGCCTTGTGATCCTCCGTGGCCTTGCTCGCTTGCTCAAATTCTGAAATGAAGCCTCGGTAGCTTCTTTGCGGCCGCGCCTGGGCTGGGTGATGAAGATGCCGGTTTCGTCGTTATCCCATTATCCTCCTTGGACAAGGTGGTGCCTGGCTCCTCGTCGTCAACCTTGCCCCACAAGGAAATGGGGACTTCCTCGATGGCCCAGCCCAACATAAAGCAAACAGACCTAACTGCTTGTTTCTCCTCCAGTCTCTTGGGCGAATTACGAATGAAACTGAAAACCAACTGATTGTGCAACTCCTCGGCCTGAGAGCATTCTACATGCAACCGGCCAACGCGAGAACGCTGAACTCGAGGGCTGAGTGCATTTCCTCAAAGTGATTGACTGCTGTGTCCAGTCTGTCCTCATTAGCTCGCACCGCACTGCAAGCATAGGTGATATGTTGCTGAAATGGTTGCTCGGGTTTGGCATGACGTTTTGCCTCCAGGTCCTTCCTGTTCTCGGCGGCCGCAGCGTTCCCAGCGCGGGGGAGCAGACATGTGAGAGATACAAGCTCCAGCTCGGCGAGGTTCTCGGTGTCCAACTTTGAACCTTGGCCTGATGTACGCTGAAGACTAAGAAAGACAGGACCGCGCCGAGCACCGCCGTGTTGACTTTGCTGCGAGTCTTGCGGGGGGGGCGGGCACCCTGACCTGGTTCAGGGCGTGGTGCGCCGCAAAGGCGGCAGGAACTCGCCTTTCTTTTGCACGGGCATCGCGATTAAGCCAACTTCCCACGTCTAGGATCGAATTGTGGTCGGCCCCCTCCATTACCGCCATGGAGCGAAACCGAAGAATAGCTGACCTAGATGCAGCCGAGGGGCGTTGTTGGGGGCCGCTGCTCCCCTTCGCCAAGAAGGTCAGGTCCTGAAGAACAGCGCTACGGACTTGAGCCGCAATGGCTACGGATGGAGGGCGTGAGGGCTGCACCGGCACGGTGTGGAGAAGGCATGCGAACTAGTTCGTTGAGGCCTGAGGTGGAGCTCCGTATGGGAGCACGGGCCGTGTGAGGGGGGCGTGCCGAAGCAGTGACTATGGAAAGCAGAGGCAGGCAGGGGGATTAGGGGGAGAGGAAGGAGGAAGGAGGAAGGATGAAGGAGGCGACGCAGGGTGAAGCGTACTATAACTGGGGACTTAACTCCACAGGATGGTGAAGAAAGTTGTGTCCTGAATTGGCCTAGAAGAAAAAGATGTGGACGAAAGCCTTGGTACGATCAGGTCCGCATGGTGGCGCGCCCAGACCCCATGGCCTTGCAGTCGACACATGTCGCTGTGCTTGAAACGGCAGGCAGTCAGGCAGCACTCTCGGGAATTGCTTGCGCTGACATGTGTTCCAGCGCCTCTACTCCATCCCCTTACCCTCCTCCTCAAAATCATCCTATTCACCCAGTAGCGTGATACAGGCCAAAGACAACTCAAACGCATTAAACAATGCCGTGTGATACCATGACGCATAGCACCTCGTAGCGCCGCACATGAAAAAGCACAGATGTTTCCACCTGACAGTCAACATGGATGTTCCACGTGTGCCTGCAATCCCAACTGCAAGATGGAGCGAGAGAGTAGTCGAACAACATTCCGCGGAGGGTTGTGAGAATCAAGAAGGATCACGAGGGGGCGTGAAGGTGCTGCCAGGCCGATGCAGTTACACCGGTGCCGAAGGCTAACAGAACGGACTCGTACTGAAAGTCATCAAGACGACGCGTTCCCGTTCAGCCCAACAGAATGGAAGTCCACCCCCATCCACAAATTGTCCTCCAGCATGCCCGAGTCGGATATCCTCAGCTCGCCTCTGTAGTCGAACGAGCAGAAGCTCGAGTGGGCGCCGTACGTCCTGGCGGAGGGTCGAGACTGCTGCCTCTCCGAGCCCCCTCGTCTCCATAGCTGGATCCGCCTCGGAAGTCTTGCCAGAGCGCACCCCACGACGGGTCTGCGCAGGAAGGGCCGCCGCGGCAGGAGGGGGGCCCACGACTGCTGCAGAAGGACGGGCAGTCCCGGCAGGGCAGGGCACAAAGGGGTGGGCGGAGAGAAGGGGCACCCACCACGCACCACTGCCGCCCGCGAGAGGCCGCGGCAGAGCGCCTGGACAGAGCGCCCACTGGCACCAGCTGTGATCTCCCAGGGTGCCCTCGCTTCCGCTCTGCCGGCGGGCGCCAGCGAGCTCCAAGGATTTCCAGGACATGTGACACCGAGGACGATTGGGGGAAGGGGAAAGCCTCCGAGGAGAGGCAGGCAGGGGAGCAAGCGGAAGAGCAGTGAAGCATCCAGACTCTCAATGATGGCTGCGGCTGGATGCGCAGACGGCCTTCTGTCATCGCATGCTGCTGGCGCTGGCGCCCGTAGACGGAGTAGCAGGAAGAGGGGCAACACGGAGTTGGAAGTGGCCAGGGGTTCTGAACTGGATGAGCCCCGAGAAGATCGATCAAGAATGGGGAATAATGGAAACTCCGCTCAAAATCGTTCCCCGGACCCCTCATCTGGTCAAAGTGTCCCCCCTGGATATGTTTCTAACGGTCCTGGGGCCCGACAATGGCAAACGGAGACGGAAAAATGACGACGCGCCTTCTCTAAGCCACAACATCGAACCTCGCCCCCCCCTTCCTGCTCGCCAAATTCAATGCTGGGCAACCTCAGACCCCCAGCCGGCTCAAAAAGAGGAGGGGGAATAGGACGACGCTGGGACTCATTTGCTGCAAGCCACTGGGGGACAAGAGCAAGGACGCCGACGACGCCGCCGACGCCGCCGACGAAGACGATGGCGGCGACGACGGCGGTGGCAACGAATACGACGGCGGCGGCGGCGACGACGACTACGCCGCCGACGACGCCGACGGCGGCGGAGGCGACGGCGGTTGCGGCAGCGACGACGGGGGCGCTGGGCTGCCTTCAGTGCGCCGAAGAGGCGCGGCGGCGGCTGCCGAGACTGCTGTCCTCGCCTGGAAGAATGAAAAGGTGCCGATACCGCTACTCTCCGGACCTCTCCTGGGGCGTTTTCGAGGCGAATCCAGCCGTGGCGACGAGGGCCTCCCAGGAGGCCGAAAAAGAGAAAAACGGGCGAAGGGTAGAGGTATGGGTACCCTTTCCTCCTCTGATCGCATGGCACGAAGAAGTGGAGGAACGTGCGCCTGACGGTCGCCGCCAACTGCGGGGGCGTCTCCTCCAGGGAGGCCCAAACCCGTCAAATATTGTTGACGATGTGTGTTCGTCGTGAGCGCCGGGCCTAAGCTTGCGGCGTGTCTCTGGTTGCTCTCTGGGACTCTGCCTACCCCATATTGAATATCGTTTAACCGATCCCCATCCCCAGCAGCGTGGCCTGGGCCCCACTGGCCGATTTGCCCCCCTAGATTGGGACATGGGTCCTTCCCTTCGGGTTTCGAGGGGCGTATCCCCTAACTGGGGTGGTAATTTGGTGGGGGTCTCGAAGGGGATGGGGATGGGGATGCGGATCGGTTGAACGATACTGACAGACGTGCCCTTGTTGGCGTAGCGGGTTGAACCTAAATGCAGCCTTTCGGGCCAGCCTGGTGGGTGCTCAAAGCCCAAAACCGTCTGGTGACGAACGGCAGGACCAGTCAGCGTCGAATCGGGAAATCGGATCGAAGCAAAATTTACGTCGGATCGGGCCGCAAAATGAGCGACGGCAAGAAACGGGTCTTGCGCAAGATGGCACAGCGACCTTGCGTAGCGGCTTACGCGGGGCCACCAGCATGGCCTACGCAGGAAGCTTACGCGCGAATTTCGACGCAGTTTGGTGACAGATGGCTGATCACATAGCATTAGATCGGCCGTGTTCTCCTACAGGCGAAAGCTTGACAAGAAATGACAAATCATCAAAACGACTCCAATCTAGTAGAAATAGACTTGAAAACTCGTCCAACAACGTCTTTTTGACTGGTTTTGAATTTCCTCCTGTAGAGGGACAATCCCCGACTTGAATGTACAGTCATCGGCCTGACCTAAGGAAGGATAAATAAGGAACGAAGCCCCTGTTTTCCAAGGAAAGAAACATAAGGAACGATACATATTAAAAACACGCATAAGGAAGGATACGTAACGCATGCAAGCCTTAAGGAACGACCGAGCCCCTATTGAAAAGCAAAAGTTACTTACTCAAACCGCTCACTGTACGTCGGATCGGAGCGCCTCATCACCGAGATCGCATCGGCTCGGCTGCGCCAAGATGCACAACAGCGCCGTGCGAGCATCGGGCCGCATCGGATCGTCGGAGCACCGGTATCGAATCGGATCGGGCTGGCCGAGATCGATGTCGAGCCGGACCGAGCGGGTCGAAACACGCCCTGGATGGTAGGGCGGCCTCCAGACCCTAGAAGACCCCACAAGACGCGCTTGGGAACCGGGCGAGGCCCCGGGCGCTCTCAGACACGCTGGGAGAACAATCCATGGCCCGAAACCATCCGCTCATACGAAGGCGCCTAAGGCCGCCTGAAGATTACCACCAACACCCGAACCCAGCCTCGTCTGCCCCCAGTGGAAGCCGCCCCCGATGTTTGTGTCGGCGGCATCGCCGTCTGAGCCGTCGGCGGACGGCACGGTCACCGGACCGTTTGGTGGGGGGGCCTGTTCCTGCCCACTGAACGCGGGCCGATCAAAGAGGGGGGCCGCTACCAGCGCTCGATGCTTCCGATCGCTCGGGCGCTCCTCCGTCGCCCTGCCACCATGAATCTGGCTGTCCGCGGTCGCCGCGCTGCCCACGGACTCCGCGCCGAACGCATCGCTGCTCTCCTCGGCGATGCCCCTGCTGCTGTCCCACGGGCCGCGCGGCGGCGGCAGGCGCGCGAGCGGCAACCCGGCCCTGACCTGACGCTCGTCTGGGCCTGCGCCGCCCTCCGTGCAGCGCGCGGGCTCCTCGCCGACCCGGCTGCACACCTGCCTCGCGGCCTCGGCGCCGCCCGGCCGCGGCAGCACGTCGAGCGAGTGCAGCAGCAGGCTGACCTGAGCCGCCTCCTCTTTGGACGCCCGAAGTGGGCACGGAAAACAAGGGTACAACGCCCAACAGCAAATGGTGTCCCAAACCAGCAGCGGCCGCTGCTGGGCAGGCGGGCTTCTGTCTAAAACGGACACGGGCCGCGGCGGCGCGGGCAGCGAGTCCTGTTCAAACTGAACAGGAACTGCTGCTGGGCATTGTACCCATTCTTTCCGTACCCATTCCGTTCGTGCAGATCCTCCGCCGTCCCGCGGGGCGGCACGAACATCGCCGCCCCCGAGCGCAGGGGCGTCCTGCCCCCCGCGGGGGCCTCTGAGCGCGGAGCCCGCGCGCCTGCGCACCGCTGCGGCGCGGAGGGCGGGCGCCTGCCTCCGCCGGCCGCCTCGGCCCCGCGCCCCCCTGGCGCCCAGGTTCCCGGAGGCCGCCCTTGCCGCTCGCGCCGCGCGGCCTCCGCCGCGGGCACGCCCTGGGAGCGCGGGGCCGCGCGGCTGGCCGCCGGCAGGCCAGGCCCGCACTCGTGCGGCGCGCCCGCGGCCGAGCCGCGCCCGGGGTCGCTCCCGCCGCGCTCGGCGCCACTGCTGTGCCTCCAGCTCCGCAGCTGCTCCGGCGCGTGGGCGAAGGTGCACGCGCTGCCCCGCCTTCGGCGGTCAAAGAAGGATGCAACCGAGGAGCCACGCAGACCCAGTCTGGGTCCTGCTCGGGAGTTCCCTATTTGGCAGCGTGCTTTTGCTCGAGCTTGCGATTGGGCGCGCGTTTTTGTTGGGGGATGCGGCGAAACGGCGTCGCCGCGACGGTGTGCGCGAACCCGGACACTTATTTTCACCATCGAAGTAACGCGTTCGGATTTTTGTTGGTTTATTTTTTCGTTGTGCTTCTGGACATCCCGTGCACGGGCGCGTAGGGCTCGCTTAGAATGCCCGGCCAGCCCACGATGGTCACACCGAAGCCCCCCAAAAGGCCCCCAACATGTTCCCAACGGGCCCCAACAAGGCCCCGAAAAGAGCCCGGAAGAACCCTTATATGTATGTGCACAGGGCGGCAGATGAGATCGACAGACCAGCACACTGAACTGATAGCGCGTGCGTTTGTCAAATGCCGTGGTGCCTGTCTGACTTGAATTGGTGCTCTCAGACAGATGTTCTCTGACAAGCGCGGTGAATGAAGCGGTGCTTCCCGTGCTTGCCCGAGCAAATTATGCTTGTTGGTGCTGCTTGTGCGCCTGACCACCCCTCGCACGGGCGCGTCGGGCTCGCGTAGACTGTCCTGTGAAGCCCCATGTCCGTCTGTGGCGAGCCCAGCGAAGAGGCTCCGTGTGCATTCTTCTCCTCCTCCTCCTCCTCCTCCTCCTCCTCCTCCTCCTCCTCCTCCTCCTCCTCCCGTTCAGGTTGGCCGGGAGGATGCGCAGCGAAGCAGGGCTCTCCCTTCCCAGGGTGCTCGGAGCGTGGGATCCCCTTCTGCTCCTCCTGCTGCAGCTCCGATTCCTCCTCCGCCTGTTTCCCATCCTCCTCTCATTCTTCCACATGCAGTTCCCCCTCCTGTTCCTTCTCCTCTTTCTGCTCCTGCTCATTACCTTGCTGCTCCTGCTGATTTACGTTGCCAGTGGTGGCCAGGACAGAAGCGCCAACAAGACGACGCAGCAATTTCTCTGGCTCCCAAGTTTGGTATCAGTCAAGGCTTCGATGAGCGGTTCTTATATCAATCTCGTCTCGCAGACTCGAGAAGGGAGGGAATGAGGACGATGATGATCATGATGATGATGAGGAGGAGGAGGAAGAAGAGGAGGGAGATGAGGAGGAGGAGGAGGAGGAGGAGGAGGAGGAGGAGGATGAGGCGCAGGAGGAGGAGGAGGAGGAGGAGGAGGGACAGAGGAGCAAGGGGAGGGGCCCACGAAATCTTGACCACCAATGCACCATGGAGGACTGGGCGGAGGAGGATGAGGAGGGGGAGGAGGAGGAGGAGGAGGAGGAGGAGGAGGAGGAGGAGGAGGAGGGAAAGGAGGAGAGGAGGAGGAAGATGAGGAAGAGGAAGGGAACAAAGAGCAACGAATACATGGGAAGACGCGCCGAGTTCCGGGCTCGGGAACTACAAGAGAGATGGGAACAGCGTAGTGGCACAATCTATCACACAGCACCGGACAACGCCAACGCCGAGACAATTAGCGTAGTCGAGCGAGGGGGATGCGACATCACCGACGCAGCACTCGACGCCCAACTCGGCCCACGAGCACACGAGAGAAAACAAAACGAGTCCACACCGAAAATAGTTTAGCGATATGAGGCCTAGCCAACAAGCGGCCTCATCAGTGGCCACGAGCTCTCCAAGCACTGGGATGGGGGGTCCACCCCTGGCCCCTCTGGGGTACCCCTGACATGAAATTAGATTTGCGCAAGTTGCGCGAGGGGGGCGTCAACCAACAGGTCAGGGTTGCAGTAATTATACAGCTGCGACCTGTCCCCGCGACCAGACTGCACACCACAAAGAGCACGGCCGACGACATCACTGGCAATGTACAGTCGGTGGCCACGAGCGTCGCGGGCGGGACGGGCCCCTCAGGTGGCAGCGGCCCCCCGGGAGGGACAGCGCGGCACCTGCCGAGAGGGGGGTCACCTCCGACGGCGCTTCTGCGAGCCGACCTCCACCGCGGTCCGGAGGGCCTCCGCGGGCCAAAGGGGGAGCGTCTCCAAAACGAGCGCGGCGGCGACGCGCGGACGCACCCTGCGCTCGACGTCCGCCGACGGGTCGGGCGATGGCGCCCTGGGGGTGGAGGGAGGCGAGGGAGGGAGCTCCACCGAGGACGATCAGGGGGGAGCGGGGTCGAGGCCAGGCCTGCCCTGGTTTTGGCTCACAGTGGCCTGGTCAAGCGGCGCGCCCTGCCGAGGGCCGCTGCTCTCGTGAGCCTCTCTGGGGGAAGGAGGGGGCTGGCAGGGAGGCTCACGGACCAGAGGGTGGGAACGGGGCCCTGCGGAACACTCTTGCCAGTGACTCTCCTACGGACGGTTCTGTTCTCGACGTTCCCCGAAGCTCTCTCGAGTCGAGGGGCGTCAAACCAAGGTCCGCGGGCGTGTCGGCAGTGCGCGGCTGCACGCAACACGGTTCGGCACCCATCCGCTTCCTGCCCGCCCAACACCTGGCAAACCTAGGGAATCTGGCGCACTTCCAGCCTAAATTGTACACGATGGTGGCGTGCGGCACAGCGCCAGGCGTTATTTCAGGGCGAGCTCGCTTTTCAGTCGCTCTCTCAGGGCGAACGCCGCCTCCTGCACGCCTCGGTTTGCGGCCGACCGTCTCGATCCTCGATCCTGTCGGAGGCCATCTCGTCCTGCATCGACTCGGAGTTGGCGGCCCACGCCGCCACCTGGCAAAGCTCCTGGAGCAACCCGGCGTGCTTTGCGATTTCATTTTCAGGGACATCATTATATCGGAGCCCCCGTTTGGCTGCAATGTCCGCCCACTCGTTGCCCACTTTGTCCAGTCGGTCCGTCGTGCTCGACTCCGACTGGTGCGCCTGGACCCACGAGATGCCGTGGTCCTCCGAGATCCCACCTTGGCCCAGCACCAGATGCCAGAACTGCTTCCATAGGTCGGGGTGGTCGCGCGGTACATGCAAGCACCACGCTGGGCCCCTGCGCATGGCCTCCAACACGTTGAGACAATCCGCCTTGGTGGCCACGGGCAGCACGGCGCGTCTCAGCACCAGGAGGATGGCGCGCAGCTCGGCTCGAGTCACTGACTGCTCGCAGCCTAGGAGTGGCCCGTAGGCCAGGCCTTTGCGTCGAAGTCGCTCCATAACTGGAGGGAAAACCTCCTGCCCGATGCGCCTCTGGCCATCCCGTCGGCGAGCGCCCCGACGCGTCCGCGAACGCCGCGCCCGTGATGACATGGCCGTCCTCCCACCAGTCGCAGTGCCATTGCTCGTGCAAGATGGGCGGCGGCACCTGAGGCAAGCGCGCTCCAAGCAGGAGCGCACGTGTCCAGAAGGTATTTGGAGATGCTCCACCCGGCCTTCTCGCTAGCCTCGGCCTCGACCGCCCCCTCGCGCATGTCGCGCTTGTTGGGGCACTGCCAGAAGCGATGGTGGAGCGCGCCGCCCCAGCCTACGCCGCAGACCTGGCAGTTGTCCATGTCCGAGCACTTGTGGTTGGCTAACCGCCGCTGCGACCACTGGCCGCCGATGACGGTGGAGCGCAAGACTCCTACCTCCGACGGTGCCACCGTCCCAGGCGCCACCTCCGCCCGCCTCGACCCTTCTTCCCACCTAGCGTCGGCGAAAGGCCTTCGATGCCCGTCCCCGTGGTCCACGTCGCGAAGCCTGAGTACCTCCATATGCGCTTCTTGAGGCACGTGGTCACTGCGCTGGCAGGGTCAGCAATGAGCTTCCACGGCTTCTCGCCCCCCCTCATGAGGTGCTCCTGCGCCCCCCGAGCCTTGGCCAACATCTCGTGACTGGCACCGCCGCCCATGACGACATGGGCCCACGCGTAGATGGGCCCGCCCGCGGCGATGCGTTCGGGGGCTGGCGCGGTGCCTGCTCGAGCTAAGACGCGAGCCGCGTCGAAAGCGTCTTGGCCCAGTCCGCCCTGATGAGTACTGCAACGGTGCTGACGTGGGCAGCGGCGCGCTCACCACCTGTGAGACGTACTGCATGGAAGATCTCAACCTTGGCGCCCCTATCCTGCGCGCAATCTCGAGGTTTGCCCGCGCCCTGCGGGAACGAGCGATGCGCTCCTTGACCTCGCGGATCCTCGCGCGCGCGCTGTGGAAGAAGATGGGCTGCCCCGCGCGCCTGTCCATGCCCGGGGCGTTCAAAAACGTAGCTGGTCGAAATCCATGGGGCTGCGTCTGCTCCACCACCTTCCTGGCCACCTCGTTGCCGGAGCTGCGCACCTTCGCTGTATCCTTAGCGATGGGTAGTTTGAGCGCTTGGAGCACTACGGCAAGCCTGTTGAGAAAAGCGGCCGTCGTGGCCACGACTGCGCTGATGCGCTCAATCACCTGCGCCGTGACATCGCCCGCGTAGACGTCAATGGACCTGTGCGCGCGGGAGGTGGAGGCCACAAACACATTGAACGGTGCGAGCATCACCAGCTGCAGCAATCACATCGCTGCCGCGCACCCCGGCAGGACGCCCTGCCCCACCTTGACCGCGCAAGAGCAGGCGCTGCCCCATCGCGCCCGTCTGGGCGCATAATACATGCTCACCACCATCCTCAGAATGACCGCTGGGGGCCCGTGCGTCCTCGCTGCTATCAGGATATTCACCCATTCTACCCTGTCAAAGCACTTGCTCATGTCGATCAGCGCGGTGACGATGACGTCGCCCCCCTGCTTGTCCAACGCGCCCGCGTGCACCGCGGCGCGAGCCGCGACGTCCGTTGTGGACTTGCCACGGCCGAGCGCGAAAAACGGACGCCCGCGCGCTGCCGCCCACCTCCTGGCGCGCACGACTCGCACCTTCGCGCGGTGGATGTAGAGGGCGGGCAAGAGGGCAATGGGCCTGAAGCCCCGTCGGCTTGCCCAACAGCATAACGTGCACCGAAATGACTCCCGTCGGACATCGTGACCAGGTCTCCGCTGCCCACATTGCGTAGATCACCGACGCGAGCGCGTCGTGGAATAGTAGGGAGAAAGCCCATCAGCG